TTTAGTGGAAATAATTCCAAATAACTTATCAAGACCACATAAACAACCATCAAAAAAACCGTGATAAGAAGCCTAAGAAAATAAGTACTGCAAAATAAAAATGTTCTATAAACAAATAAATAGAATCAATTTCTTACCTACAATAAAATAAGAAAAAAAATCCGTTATTTATACAAACTACTTACCTTCGCCAAAAAGAGGCCTATCTTAACCTTCCCAGTTCTATTTTCTTCCTTTGGTGATTCTAGCTTCGGGCTTGTGACCTCCTCCTCCTCCGGTTTTTTTTTTGGTTTTATTCCTCCAAGAGGACCTGGCGGCTACAAATGAGTCATGGCTTCATTTCGACTATGAGAATTAAACAAAATCTGTCGAAGTAATAAGTCCAAAGAATGTATACTGGCGTAGCAGAAGTCGACAAAAAATACAACAGAGGAGAGTAAGGTGAGAAATCAAGCGTCTCTTGCACAGTCTTCGCAAACCTCCTTAAAAATGTTACTGTCGCCTTCTAGTTCTCACTGAGGCTGACTCAGAGGAAGTTCAGGATCGATGAATGACAACTACCGCCCTTTAGAAACAAAGTTGTTTTAAACTGTCGCTGTTTGTGAGTGATAAAGCACATAGAAAGAAAACACTTTCAATTAATGAAGAATCAAGTGGCATAAAAAATATAAACCGAGGTATAAAAGGCAAAAAACAGCACTTGTATCATCTGAACAGATCTCTTCTTTTTGACAAAAGAAACAGAAACACCTCTGTATTAGAACGAAGTATTACAGCAAAATACCAAGTAACTAATTTCCAAGTACTTACTTCTGATTGAAAAATTTTACCTTACAAGCTAATAAAAACAGCAAATTTCAGGTTTTACTTTGCTGGCTAGAAAGGTTTGCGGCTTCTGCTGATGCTTATTCAAAGTTCACGTACACTACAGAGGCGGAATCCGAGGGCTGATACTTGTAACCTACTAAGTGTTGCCAATATTGCTGTGAAGCTCACTTCTATCACTTCTAAAAATTATGATTTTGAACTTTCAATTAACTTGCTACGACGTAGCAAAAATAGGACTCGATGTTTCAACTTTTTTAAATTCTATTGAACTACCCCTCAAGCACAAAGCCTGCCAGACCTCTCCCTCTTTTTTTCCCCTCTGTCAGAGATTACTTGCTTTGCTTTCTCAATGATGCTTTTAACCATTTTTGTATAACTTATTTTAAAGGATGTCATAATTTCACCGAAGAGCAAATATTTTAAAGAGATTCAAAATATAGTATGTTCAAAAAATATCTTTCAAACAATTAAATATATCTGAAATGAGGCTACAATCACTTTGCTCATCAGTCACCTCATTTGTAACTATTTTCAATCAAAGTTTTACATGACCAATTTTTCACTTTCTTCTTCGCTCATGAATAGTCACAAAATCACTTACTCGTGATGTGTATACCAAACATCTACTCTGGTTTTCCTTTTTGAATTAAGGTCATCTCACTTTCCAACTACTGATTTCTGAGGCTAATCACACAAACTGTGCAAGAATTATCCAAGTCCTTTATCATTTATTATAATTCCTTAATGTCCCAAAAGCACCTACCACTGCCTTACATTGAGACGTAATGAAATAACTTACTGTGAATTCATTCAGCTTACCACGAAATTAAATGATTAAAAATATTTAAAAAGAACAATTATGAAGTAATTGGACAAAAGAGCGATAAAAAGAGGCAAAGCCACTTGAAAATACGCCATAAATTTTTAATCGGCAAATACAATTCTAAACTAGCAGTTTATCAATCTTGAAAAATTTTTAAACCAGTCTTCTTGGAATATGATAATAAAGGTAAGACCTGAAGTTTCTGGCGTTTTTTTTATATTGCTTAACAGCTACTGACACTGTAAGTTTGAACCCGCTTTCCTTCTGAACTTTCAAAACCAGTAAGCATAGTACAAATATTTTGGGAGGGTTACGCTTATCATAGAAGAAAAAAAACCGTCAAAAAAGAGACAGCAACAATTAGCAAAGCCAGAAGCAACAAACTTCGAGCCAGTAAACATGGAACCAAGACCTACTGTTTGTAAAAATTTTAAAAAAGCAAATTGTAATGCTTTGGTTAAACTGTAAAAAATGACAGAGGACAATTTAGATAAATCATTTTACAAAAAGCCAGTAAAGAACCTACCCTTACTATAAGACTAGCAAGACGATTTTTGAATTCTTGTTGAGCAAGATTCTCATTTGATTTAAATCCCTTCTGACCAGGTACCTTGAAAAAAATTAAAAATATTCAAAACGAAAAATTACGTAGTAATTGAACAAATAAGTGAAAAAAATTCCTCCTTTATCTGTTTCCAAACTCAAATAATACCGTATTAAACGTTACGTCAAAATCCGACTCCTCAGAAGAGGAGCCACTAGGGAACAAGTTAGAATGCCCGTCACGATCTTTACGAGGTTTCCTCAAAAACTGGTTAGCGGATCTAGAAGAAACTTGGGTGGGAGAGGATCCTGCTGAAGACTCGTCATCAGATTCAGAATCAGTAAAAAGAGAATCAACCCCATTCAGGCGAGGATTCAAAAAAGCAGGCTGCAAAAGGCAGAGGCCTATTCAAGTTAATATAACTCTCCAAAAAAAGAAAAAAACTATCAACAAACTAAAATATGTTACCGAGGCTCTCACTGAACGTGGACC